AGACGTACTGCAACAACTTTTTCGATGATTTTTGAAATGACCTTGAGATTTGAGATAGGCCTATAATTACAAGGATTTCGTGGTCCAAGGATGGTTTCTTGAGTAGTGGCAGTAAGACGGCGGTTTTTAGTGAAGGAGGCACATATCCAGATTCCAGGGACAAGTTTACAATCCTGCAAAGTGTGGGTAGAAGCATGTCAAAATTTTCTTTTAACAAGACGGCAGGCATAGGGTCCAGGCTACAAGACTTAGACCTACACTCCTATAACATATATCTCATCTCATCAGCTAGCACAAAAAATGGCAAATGCTTCCCAATTAACCGATTGCCAACATTTTAAAGGGCTTGCTTTGCAGCAGGAAATAATACAGTGAATGTATAATACAATGAAACAGTTAATCTTTGGCTGATTTTGCTGACTTTCACAAATAGTGTGCTAAACCCTTAAGAAAAATTCATATTTCTTATTTTGTTTTGTTTTTTAAGTTTCGTTTGGGATATATTTATCAAGGCCTGTTAATCTTTTAGTTATGGGCTGAAGCAATATGTTTCAATCACTCGCAAATTAGCAAGTACATTTACAATAAAGCAGCATCTCATTTACCATATCGTAACTACTAGTACGATAAAACTAAATAATTGGGAGCCCCACACAAGCACACTTTGTGATTCTCTGAAAATAGCACCCTATTCTCTTAAATATCTCATATTTTAACCTTCTACTATCGATCACTGACCTTTCGAGCTGAAAATTTTAGTAGTGTCTTTCATTTTTTTTTCCATGATAATTCAATTTATCCTAATTAAGTATAACTTGTAAGCCACACATGTACGCACTGCGGACCTATTTTTCATGATGACGCCGTTAGCCGTCCACGCAACATTAAGCAGCGATTGTCTTCTAATCATTTCACCTAAATATAGAATTGCCTGACAGTATTATGATTGATTTGGAGGTCAAGCTGTCTTGATCGTTGCAGTTCTTAGAATCCTTAGCTCTTTCTGTCATTATTCTAAGGAGTCACATCATGACAAGTCTATTGTCTAATTTCGTCCCATGATTGGTCAGTATTGTCAAACTACGACAAATACCACTTTATCCGATCACGCACATCCCTTCATTGTTTGAGGCATTTTCAGCTACAAACTCGATCTTCTCACCGAACCTCTAAGTTTCCGCCTTTTATTATGGATGTTAAAACCTTGCTAAACAATCTTCATGAAGAAGTATCCTGTTCTGTGTGCATGACAACATTCACTGATCCAAAAACACTGCCATGTTTACACAGTTTTTGCCTTCACTGCTTGCAGGGCATTCAACGAGCGAGTGGCCGCCAGGATATCCTAACATGCCCGGAATGTAGAAGAGAGAGCAAAGTCCCTAGTGGAAGCCTCAACGACCTGCCCACCAACTTTCGAATCAATAGTTTGCTTGATGTGTTGGCAATCAAAGAGTGTAACACCACTGGCGTACAATGTGGAAATTGTGACAAGAAGAGCTCGAAGAGTTTCTACTGCTTCCAGTGTTGCACATTCTGGTGCGAAGCCAATTGTATAAGCCTTCATAATGGCATCAAAGCCAATAAAGAACACCGAGTGTTGGCCCTCAAAGACTTTCAAG